TATCTACAAACAAGGTTTCGAAAAGAGCTTATGATAAAAAAAAATGATATTTTTTCCTTTCTTTAGGTGCTCGCATTCGGTATAAGATTTTTGTTTATTATAATTTTAGGTTAACATTACAGATTTTAACTTTTTAACTCTCATGCACTGAAAGTAAAATGAACTCCTTCATTGTTTATTGTCTATCAACTGTCCGTCTGTCTGTCTGTCTGTAAACTTTTCACATTTTCAACTTCTTTTCAAGACCCATAGGGTACATCTTTATCAAAGTTGTTACACAATATCCCAGAGTAAAAACAGGAGTTTAATTGTTAAATGAAGGGCCAACTCCTGTCTTATGCTCAAGAACCACTGGGAGAGAAAAGCAGGAATTTATGTGGACATTTTCTTTCTGGAAATTGAAGACTCTAGAATGTTTAAATAATTGTTTCGTGGGGTAGGGTTGGGCCAATATAGAGAATCAAACTTTAACAAAGAGATATATATAAAAAAAATCTTATTCTCAAGAATGTCTGGACCAAAAAAACTTATTTTAAAGCTTTCTTTTGGAGTGTAGATTCATAATTGTTCAAATTATGCAACTGGGGTAGGGTTAAGCCTTGAAGGATTCAAAATAAAATAAATGTTTTATGTGATTTTTTTGCTATTCAAAATTAATCATTAAACCTTTGTTCCTTCTTTAAGATTGGTCAGACAAACAATTGTGTTCACATATTCCTGCCACACCATCCTCCAAAAGTCCACCACGGTTTTTGGCTTTGGGCCTGAAATGAGTATTTTATGTATATAAATTGCACATCACACATATTTCTCCCAAGTTAAATTAATTACGGAGATGCTTTTGTTCAATCCGTGAGTTTTACACCAAAAATAAAGTTACCTTGCGTTGCAATATACTTTATATTACTATGCGCATCCTGTTGACGTGAAAAAAAGTATTAAAAGATATGCAAATTTAACAACAAGTAAAAAAGTCATTTCAAAACAAATCATCTATAGCATACCAGGAAACGCTTTTATGAATAAAAGAAAATACTTTTTATAAATCATGTTACGATTCAGAGTTTAAGATTTAATTTATTAATAGATAAATGTTATAAGTATGTACATAAATATACTTTCCTCAATAAAATTTGCATTGATGTAGTCACTTTCATTTGGAGATGAGGTATTCAATACAACTCGAGAGTGATCGTCTATGAACGAACATGAACAAAACAGAAATAATTTAATTTTTACAACTGTAAAAAAAGTCAATAAAGACCAAGATTTGTTTGTTCATTGCATACTGTGGTTTTAAACTTACATGGAAATGTAGTAGTATATCTATTTCTAGCTTTATTTTCAGGCTTTTTAGCTTCTTCACAGGAAAACAATTCACCTCTTGGTATTTCCTATATAGAAAACAAGCATCACAAGGGGAATATAGAGATCGTTGTTATGTTTAGTTTTTACAGATTTTCCATTGTGTTTCAATAAGAATGATCAGCGCTTACATAAAGGGTTATCTTGTTTTTTGTTTTTTTTTTATCTCTGTTTAATATATCAATGATTGATGAAAAATAGAAACATTGGCTAACATTTGCCCTTTACATGTATATATTAAAATGCAACTGATGTAGAAATCGCTTAGCTAATTTTGATGAAGCCTTACATGGTATTCATGTTTGAAACCAGCATTCTCAGCAGTAGACATTTTGGATATTATTGCCTGCAGATTCCTTGTGAGAATAGTTTTATTTGTTGGTGGACCTCTCTTCGTTGTTTCAACAACATCAGGAGATTTATTTCTCTCTTTATTTATAGCTAAAAATGAAATACATATATGAGCATTATTCTGCTTAAAAGTATAAGCTGAACGCTTATAAGACAATGATAACAATGAAAGAAACTAGTTTGAGGGGGCTCTCAACAACGTCATAACATGGTGTACAAAGATTGAAACGCCATTTTGGTCCCAAATGATCTGATTCAAATTCACTTGACGCCAATAAATAACCAAGTATAACACACATGCAATATTGTGGATGGAAGGTACATTGTATCACCTCGAAGCGACAAAAGTGCCCTATACGTATCCTTTCTTTAATCATGATTTGTTGTCAATTATACAATTTCGACTTATTTAATTATAAAAAAAATATATTTACAAACGTATTAGAATAAATATGAGTTTTAGTTTTTAAAAAATGATATAAAAACATGGCTAATAGGTTAATACATCATTACGTATAAAATCTCCATAAACACAGATATTATTTTTTTTTTTTCAAAAAACATATATACTTACAAGAAAAATGTACCCCCCTCCCCCCAAATGCAAATTTGATAAGAAAAGGCACATGTACCATCTCACTATCGTCTAGAGGATATTCTTTTACGATTTGTATATACATCAAATATGTAGTTATACCCGGTGAGTTTTAAACTCTTCATGAAATCATCAAAACGTTTTGACCGTATGTGGAATTCTGTATGACTCTAACGTTTGATCTACCCTGATTATCAGCTGTTTCTATGGAAAACGTGCAGCTTTGAAACGAATAGTGAATTTTGTTATAGGAATTTCTTTTACCCACTTTTGGCCATTAACCATGTTTACATGTCATGATATATCTAGCACTGGATAACACACCCTATTGGAAAAAAAACGGTAAGTAAATATACTTTTCTCAATACTATGAATTCACTAAATACATGTCTTTGTCTTTGACTGTAAATGTGATGGTTTTCGCTTAAATTCATTTGAAGAAACAATACAATACGAACTTCTTTTAATGCCCTTCCTTGACATCTTTTCTCAATACTTGTGCAACTTTTAGTAAACTTTATTTGAAGTCCATAGAAAAACAGTACTACGATATTAGAGCCCACTCTTGAGGCGGATCTTTCACACCAGGATTATCGTGTTGTTTGAAATTAGTATATTTTTGTAAATTTATGTAAGAATTATGTAGATTTTATTTATAACTTTATTATTTCAATATTTTATAACATTAATCAATGAATAGAAAGTAAAAGCACTGGGCTTTTAAAAATATAGAAAGGAGGGGTTTTAATAAAATAATTAAAATATTTTATATATTTTCAAAATTAAAGTGAAATACTTTGGACCCTTATTTTTTCGGATATTGAGCCTATTATTAGAAACAAATGCATGCAACAGAAATCAATTCATATGTGAAGAGCTCCTTAATCGAAGATCTCATATGTATTAAAGATTGTAGCACGTGCATAACATATGCAGAATATCTTGTAAATGAAACATATTTTGAACTATTTATTTATTTCAGGACTTGTTATCATCGAATGAATTGTTTTGGATAACTCGTTTTTTTTTCTAATTCTTGAGTAAAGAAAAATAAACTATTTAAATAATTTATTAAAGAACTCAAACAAGAGTGGATGAAATTTTGGTTGTTACGTTGAATTCAACATTTAGATATATGGGCGATATTGTATTAATATTAAAAATAATTATGTCCATTCCTAGAGTGAATCGATATATCTAAGTGAACTTGAAATTAACACCACAGAGTCTGTCACAAGTTTATCAGAATAATGTTTTGTTGACTATAGACGATAATTAATTATAAAGTGCAAGACGTAGATCCCTTTTTGCATCTGATTTTTTTTTAAATTTCTAACCTGCAAACTGATACAATAAATGCTGTAAACCAACTTTTATTAGCAAGCAAGGAATTTTTGCAAGAGCTTCATCACTGTGAGTAAATCTTGCCGCAAGTCACTATTTTTATTCAGATTTCCATCAGCCGACCACTTTTTACGCTTCAGCCTTGTTCAGAGTTCGCTGTATTTCGTTTCGAGAAGTTTACTTGAACAGACATCTCTTTTTTGTGAATTTGTGTCCCCAATAAAGCTGAACACAACTCGTAAATAGACATACACCATCTTCGATATTACTATTCTACGATATCAGCACCAGGGTATACCCTTCGCTTTCGTTACACCTGACAACTTTATTTTCACGGGTATCGGCGTGGAATGCGAACCCGTATTCGTGCTGGTTATCTTGCATTACCACTCTTAACATTTTATTGCAGGTTTGTTTGTATACTGCACTGATCTGTGCAACTCTTGCGGGATCAATCGGGTTTCAATGCGGAAGTTCTCATATGCTTAGTGCGAGAATCCTACTACCATACCAACGAGGGTGTTGACTTTGCTTCAAATTTAATGGAAACAAAAGGTCACATATGCATATTTTTTTCACGTTCGGCATTGTCAAAATGTTAAAGCAATATGAGCTGCAACTTTGATGTCGGATTTTTTTGTTCCCATATTGTAAAAAACTATTTCAATGACTGAAAAAATAACATTATTAAACTTTTGTTTTTCATATTTGCAATGGAAGAACTATTTATAAGCTTTGATTAAATCAAAATTACATTATTGTCGACCTGTACAATAGATTTCTTATATAAAACTGTATTTTGGATTGTACATTTTAACACCAAATATTTTTTTTTTAAATGCAGCTCATATTGCATCAAACAAAACCTGGGATCTAATAAAGTTAGTAAACCCTTTGATTTCCAAGTCAATAGGCGTCCCATGTAGACCAAAAAAGAATTGTCATGTAAAAAAAATGTAAAAGCTCAAACGCTTTCCCAGATGTCGAATGGAAACGAACGCTTTACTAACAGGCATACAGGAATAGAGATTGACGGGCGGATGGAAAAATATTACAGAAATATAAAATATTTAACTAACTTACATTTTTTGGGTTCTTTTATTTGCTGTAGTTCCAAAATAGAATTTTTTTTCTCTATAATTCCCTTTCTTTTATCCTTTTCTGACAATTTAGTTTTTAATCTATAAAGACAAATTTTAATCTTTAATAAATATTTCGAAGTGTAAAATATTTGATTACAATCATAGTGAACGAATTTTCATTTTTTTTTTTCTTGTTCAAATTTCATAGAACATTAAAAAAAATTAAAAGTTCCTATATTTTTTTTTATTAAATTGATAAGATTTTACCGTAGGTATAAGAATGTTAACAGGACAATAATGATAACTACAGCAAATGCCCCTAAAACGCCACCCACAGTAAGGGCACTGGATGACTGAACAATTGGTAGCAAAACACTGGGTTCTCCTCCTTTAAAATAAAGCAATATATCTTTAAATAAAATATGATAATATTTAACAGTATTTAAGCTCAAAGTCCATTTAAAACAATACAGATTCTCTAATCAAACAAAACATAGAACCAATCAGTATTAGTTGAATAGACATTTCCTAAACGGGGATATGGTTTTTTGAAGATTTTTTTAATTAATCGCGACATTGAAGCGTCTGTAACAGAGACTCTCTAACTATCTTTATTATAATCTACATTTCAGTGTAAATTTTGTTGCCAGTCTCGAAGAGCTGAGAGTCCTACGAGTATTTTTTCTCTTTTCTACTGAAATGGGCGTGTTATTATTTAACAGTTGACGTCCGATAAAAATGCCCAGACTTTTCATTCTAAATATTTTACCACTTCGATGAGCTTCATTATAATTCTTGTTTGTCGTTATTTCCTGGTAACAATCTGACACATTTGACCTTGAAACGCTTTGTTCCACACTTAAGTTTAACTTTTTTAAAAGATAAAACTTATAAACATAGCATGGGTGTATTCTAATAAAATTTTAAAATACATGCAACTTCCATGAATGAATTTGACAGGAATGTTCATTTCACAATTAATTCATAGTTAAGCAAAATTGTTCTTTTTATTGGTAAGAATAATATGCTTACAACTGATAAGTCAAGTGTTTATTTATATTTAAAAAAAGAGGTAAAATGTCCAATGTGTTTGTATCACTCACCTTTTTTGCACGAAGTTCCATTACTGCACTTAGCTAAACAACTACCATCAGTTCTATTACACGTACCATTAAGACAATAATCTCTGCAGATACTCAGACAATTTTGGCCGTAAAATCCTGGTTCACATTCTTTAAATGAAACACATTTGTTCAAAACATTCAAAGTAAAAGGAGTAAAAAGTCAGAGGATGCTCGAAATATAAAAGAAACTGACATATAACTACATGATTCATTCAGCAGCAAATATCACAAAAATTATTAAAACATATTGTTTTCCGTTTTATATTCAAAATGTTAGTCACCTCTGTCAATTATATCTTTTACCATATTTTTGGAACAATGAAAGGTGGAGACTTCCTCAAATTAAACTCTTTGAAATAACACCAAGGTACGTGTAAATGACCTTGTGACCTTGACTGTGGTATTTATGCTAAAAATAGCTTTCTCGTACCTTCGCCATAACATTTTAACCATAGGAGATAAAGACCGTATTTGGTATGCAAACTCAACATTCATGTTTTTTTAATGACACCAAGGTCAATTACCTTTTGACCTTGACTGTGACCTTTATGCTAATATAGCTTTTTTTAACTTTGTTGCCACCGGATCCATAGTGCGTCATAAACACATTTTTTTTGTAAAATTAAATTTTTATTTGGCATGTAAGGCAAATAGGTCCTATCATACTGATCTCATCTTGCACTATCCAGTAAAAGTAAAATTTTATGAATCTATTTCCTACCTAACACATCATAAAACCAAAATTTCAGTGTCTTCATATAGATAATTAACCTTTGTTGCAGTGTTGTCCAGTCCATCCAGGAGAACAAATACAAGAACCGTCTCTGTTATTACATTTCTGAGATTGCTGGCAATTTATTGGGCATATCTGAGAACAATTTACACCAAACAAGCCATCCTCACATGCTGAAACAAATAGTATATATTAGTTATAAAATCTGAATTTGTTATCAGAACATTTTTCCTCCTTTTTGAATCAAAAACCTAGTACTTTTAATGACAAAACAAAATAAAGTAAAAGGATGAAGATACTCTTGTATTTATTTCTTACGATTGTTACACCTATCTCCTGTATATCCATTTTCACAACCCTTACTGCAGCTTCCATCTATATGATTGCATTTTGTGAGATTAAGACAATGACCACTACAAGCCTCTTTGCATTGGATTCCAAACTTCCCATCTACACATGCTGTCCAAAACAAACATTTCAATTTTACCGATAGTAGAATCAACTTTATGTTATTTTTCTTAATTTTGATTAAAAAAAAACACATTTCTCCAAACGTACCCGTGTTACAAAAAGGGTCTGTATAGCCCGGACTACAGCCAAAGTCACAAACTCCTGTCGCTTTATTACATTGTGATTCATCCCTACAATTCCCACTACATTTGTGAATGCAGCCCGGGCCGAAGGTTCCATCTTCACACTCTATAATTAAAATATCTCTTTTACCATTTAGCATATAATGTATTAATATCTTCCAGACTCCAAAATATTTTCAACAGGTAAAGTTTATGAAAAAAAATTGTATAATGTTAAAAAAAATAATGGGAATGATTTGTATTTGGTCAGAACAACTGTTTTGCATTTCCTAATCGAGGCATAAATAATTGTAAATTTTTATCATGTTCTTACCTCACAGCCTAGGGAAATGCAGGAAAATCTTTATTTCTAGACTTAAACTTTCGGCGGATCGATGCTATTTTTTTTAACAAGGAACTGTCAGATATCTCTATGCTCGAAGTTAATCTTATTCAGGTTTTAAGTCTTCTGCGAGAAATCTTATTGTTATTTTTTTTTTTTTCATTTTAAAGTTCTTTAGTGCAAGACCTTGGTACTTTTATTCTTCAGGTTAGGATTATGCGATTTCGCCGGGAAAATGTGATGTTTTTTCCTTATGTTATCGTTAACATTAGTACGCTCGATTTCAAAGAAACTAGCTGATTTTATTCCGGGAATGATACACCATTATGATATCTATAGATAATTTTTTCTTTGAAAATTTCTTCCAGTCGTATTTGAAACAGAGTTTCATTTTAACATTTGACCATCTTCTCCCCAAATTTTGTTATTTACGCCTCAAAACGCATTATGATATATTCAGGGCAGATAGAACAATTCTTTGAATTTGACAATCGCCATTTGAATGTTGTAGTTTTGACATTTGACACAGTTACTGATATTCAACAATGTTTAAAATCCTGCAAGTAGAACGAAGGCGCAATATGTTGTAATTTTACAAACTAAAGAGCCATAGTTCCTTAAATGTCCATTAGAGAAAAAGTCGGAAAATGTTAATATTCCCCGGGATTTCTGGGACAAAAGTAACAAAAACATCTGAACAGGATGTAACGTTTCGAAAAAAACTGATCCCAACAAAACATGCAATCAAACATTTTATTGCTGTGGACTTTGTATGCATCATGAGACAAAAAGAACGATATCATTTTACATCTTGCCGACTTATACCTCTTTTTACCGTCAGACGTCAAACCGCACGAGACACATACTAGGCTTTGACGTCATATGGCCTCGGAAATTACGGAGAAAGTCGTCGTCTGGTTCAACAAGACTAGAGGTCTTGTAAAATATAGGATTACACATTCTTTTTTCAGAATTTATCGATGTGTAAACTCATGCCTATTTACTCACAAACTGAATAAAAGTGCGAAGAGTTTACACATCGATAAATTCTGAAAAAGAACGTTTAATTCTTATAATTCCAATTACGAATTTTTAAAATCATTTCACTTTGAGGTCTCCATACAACCCATTATTTATATGCCGTGTAGGAATACTTATGCCGTAGAGAAAAGTAATTGAGATGAATTTCGATAGAAATTCAACTTATAGTCAAAACAATCAATAAATAAACTTATAAAAAATCATCGAATGTTGATTAAGACGTATATATCAGAAATAAGAGTATTCTCCAGAATAAATCGTCCTTGACCATGACCATGTTGACATTAACGAAAACTCTCGGCGCGAAAGTTGCAGACCGACAAGCCCTCGATTTACTCTGATATGTTCAAGGATTGAGGGAGAATGTAGGCCTAGGATGTGAAAATATGAATTTGATGCTTATATACAGTGTAATTAAAAGGCAAGAGTCTGAGGTACGTTTCTTTTCCCTATCACGTACAACGATACAAACTGAGCTGATTTGCTTCGTATTAGATCGAACTTCGAGCGATTTTTAAAATTCACACTCGTGATCCGACGGTGACATATACATAATATTATCGTCTTTCGGTCCTGTTTGTCGACATTTTCGTTTCATTTAATGTTAAGTTTCTTGTAATCATAATTTAGCTAAACAGACTAGAAGTTACTCATTTCATTATTTTTACAACAGCCTAGAAGATTGGTCAGAAGAGTAGTTCTTATTGAAAAATTTATCGATGTTTAAACTTTTTCTGGAAGTTGTTCTCGTGCAATCAAAACATAGGGAATCACCTATGATGATTTCTGGGGAAGTGGACTCGATGAACATGCTACACTGAATACCAAACCAAAAACATGGCCTTGCTTAAATGAGTTGGGTCAGGTTTTCATCATGTCTGTGGCTCAGAAACACCGCCAGAAAAATCGCCCAAGTCGTAGTTTCTCAGTCCCGAGAAAACCCGCACGAAAAGCGCCGGAAAATTCATAACAAGAGATAACTTCGTTCGTCAGTCAGCTGAAAGACGGCCCAACCAAACGCTCACCCGATAGCCTCTGTGGAGAGAACGACAGCCAGCAACCTGACAGCGAGTAAGGTATTTTTGTGAACTAATAATAATGAACGCTGATCGATTGAAAATGTTTTCCCTTAATGTAAGAGGTTTGAATGATTATAAGAAACTTACAATTTTATATGATTGACTACAAGATCTAGATATTGATATTGTTCTACTTCAAGAAACCCATTATATTGAATCAAAAGAATTTGTGTATAATGTTAGATGGCTAGGAACCAGCTATTATTGTTTTTTGAGTTCATCCTCTAGTCAAGGAGTTTCTATTCTTATTAGAAATGGTTTTCAATTTGAATTCATTAATTGTCATAGATCATCTGATGGTCGAAAAATTTTACTTAATATTTAAAGTAAGGACGAATTATACTGTACAAATTGTATAGTAAACCTTTATGCTCCTAAAAATGTGCTCGATAGAAAAGATATTTTTATTACAACTAAATCATGGGTACGAAAATATGTTCTAAATAAAGACAATTTATTTATTGGCGGAGATTTAATTTGTAAACTAGATGAAAAAATAATTGTTTTGATACTAGTACACTTCTATTTTGTTCATTAATTAAACAACTTCACTTGATTGATGCATGAAGAAATTTAAATGAAAACAAATCTGGATTCACTTGGTGCAATGCACAAAATATACCAAGTAGTAGATTTCACATTGATCTTAAATAAAAGAGAGTCAGGATATTGGAAAATGAACTCATCTAATTTATTAGATAAAGAATATACTTGTAAACTCTGAAAAATACTTAAAGAAAAAGATTCTGAACTAAAAGAAATAGTTTGTCCGCACGTATGATGGGAAACTTTGAAATACTTAATAAAAAAAATTTTCAATAGACTTCATAAACAAAAAAACAAAACAAAACAAAACAGAAACTTGAAACAAAAAGTTCAGATGATAGAAAGAAAAATCAAAGACATTGAAAATCGGCCCTTTCATGAAATAAATAACCAAAAAAAGCAAAAGCTTGAAAAAGCATTAAACGAGATTTATGAGAGAAAATCACGAGGTGAATACATCAGATCTAGAGCTAATTGGATCAAATATGGTGAGAAATGTACACCACATTACTTGCATTTAGAACATAAGCAGCAACAAAATAACGTGATTGAAAAAATAATTGAAAAGGGAAAAACGTCATGTACAACAATGAAATTTTAGGATAACTATGTAATTTTTATGAAAATCTTTATACATCTAAAAACCCTAAAAAGAAGAAATCACAAACTATATTTTAGAAACAGAAAATTTCATCAAAATTGACAGACAGTGAAAAAAGTTATTGTGATGATATTCCCACTTTGAAGGAAATATGAAAAATAATAAATCACCAGGACTAGACGGGATACCAGTAGAGTTTTATAAATTATTTTGGAATGATATAAAACATACTATTACATGTACGATGCCTTTTTAAAATCATTTAAGGCTGAAGAGTTAATTTCGACACAAAAATAGTCAATTATGAGGTTCATTCATAAAAAGGGGACAAATCTATTCTGAAAAACTATATACCTGTAAGTCTGACTAACTGTGACTGTAGGATATTAGTATTTGTACTAGCAAAAGACTACAAACAGTGATTTCAAAACTCATCAACAATGACCAGTCAGCTTTTATAAAAGGTAGATATATTGGATGTAACGCCAGATTAATTCAGAATATTTTTAATTATTGTGAGGATCAAAATGAAAACGGAATTCTTCTTTTCTTAGACTTTGAAAAAGCTTTCGATACTATTGAATGGTCTTTAATGTCTGAAACATTAAAACCTCTGAATTTTAGACCACATTTTATGAAATGGATAAAAATATTATATTAAACCCCCAAATGTAGAGTAAAAAATAATGGATTTATTTCTAAAACATGTAATATGATTAGAGGGATACGACAAGGCTGCCCAATATCTGCTTTACTATTCATTATAACAGAAGAAATATTAGCTATGCGCATCAACTCTTCGAAGGATATACACGATTTTAAAATTGAAAATAATAATGAAATTAAGATGCTACAGCAAGCAGACGATTCTACAAATCCTCTTAGAGATATAGAATCTGTAAAACATGTAATTAAAGTGGTACACATTTTTTCGAAAGTAGCAGGACCAAATCTTAATATTGATAAATCAGAATGTTTATTACTAGGACCACTGAGAAATACGTGCAATAGTATAGAAACGATAAAAGTGACCAACGATTCAGTAAAAACATCAGGGATATTTGTAGGACACAACAAAAGATTATGTTTAGAAAAAAAAATGGTAAGAAAAAATAGATAAAATGTCACAGATATTAGAATCGTGGGAGAAGAGAAAATTAACAATTTTTTGAAAAAAAGAAAAAAAATTAACACATGAAATTGCAATATAATGCAACCATTCTTCCCAATCCACCCGGAGAAATTATTAAACAAATAATTAGACTAATCTTTAACTTTGTATGGAACAGTAAAGACCGTATTAAAAGAAATACACTTATTGAGGATGAAAAACAAGGAGGTATTAACATTAATTATATCATAGACATTGAATCTAAACTTAAGGCATCCAAGGCATCTTGGATTCCAAGGCTACTAAATACAAGTGCTAGACTTGTATCATTCTTAAACTACCAATTCAATAGAGAAACATTATCATTAGAATATATTTTGAAAACTACTCTAATAAATGTAGATGAAGAGCTAAAAAACATTCCCATATTTTATAAAGAATCAATTTGTGCGTTCAATGAGTGGAAAATGATTAAAGATTTTCTAAAGATATCCACAGACGAATTTCAATCTTTTCTTATATGGAAAAACAAACTTTTTACACATAAAAGCAAATCAATTTGTTTTTAAAATTGGATTAAATCAGGAATTCTGTACATAAAAGACCTGTATGACGCAGATGGAATATTCCCCGATATTAGGTATTTATATGATAAAATTTTAAACAATAATATCCTGTGTAAATACCTCATTCTGAAGACTATTTTTGATAAATTTTCAAAGATATATGTTTGTGAAAAGGCACAGTATATTAATATAAGCCGCAACACTACTGTACTATTAAAAGGAAACAGGTATACACAAATAAATAAACAAATAAATCATCTGTTTTCTTTAAAATATTCATCGAAAAAAAAGAGACCAATAGCGGAAAATTACTGGAGTGAATTGTTTGATACTCCCAGGTATCAAAGAACTTCCATTTATCATGTGAAAATCAGGAAAAAGTCTGATAAGCATATAGCAGAATTTAATTATAAATTATTTCATAAATTATTAAACAATAACCTGAGTGTGAGCAAATGGAATCTAAATGTACAAAAATATTGTGCTGTGGAGATATTGAAAATATAATACATCTTCTATTTAACTGTAATGACTCAAATAAGTACAATTTAGATTTCAAAATAAGATGGAAACATATTGTAATAGGTTTTCATGAACACACAGATTTTTCCAATGGCATGAATATATTGATATTTTTTTGCCTTGAAAATTTTTGAAGAGTAGATTGACAGATACAACGTGTAACAAAGATTCCTTGTTTAATTTTGTCACATCATCTTTAAATACATATCAGTATATTGCATATGAATTTTCATATGACAATGTACAGATTCACAAATTGCTGAAAAAAGTTTTTATCAATTTGTAAATGTAAAAATATGTTACCAGCAGGTCAACAAAAACACTTGTGGAGTCTTAGTAGCATGAGGGCATTATGGACTCTTGAAAGTGTTGAAAGTGGCCTATCATGCTAACATAGGAACATATTGTATTCTTTATAGTTCCATTATACATGATTGTATACTGAACAAAAAAAGAAAGGTATATCAGAAATAATTTATTTTCAAATTTATGAA